TACAGGAGGTAGAAACCATGGTAGAAGTCGTAACAAATCAGATTCGCTTTCCGCTTCGAATAGGATTAGAAAATTTTAAAATACAACCATCACTTTTCATCATATATCATCCAGTTATCAGGTACAACTCCTTATTCCATGTCTTTAAGCATTTGTTTGCCTAGTAGATCTAGCCACGACTGCAACCTTTCAAATGTGATTAGTGTCAACGGATGCTCTACCCTATATTGGTCTCCCCTATCAAGTTATGCCACATTCCAATTAATAATCAAGCTTAACTTGCATCCATCAGAGGGAGGGAGTAGTAACTAGAAGTACAATGAGCACCTTGATGACAGATTGATGCTGTTCTATGCATATGAATGGATGAAGACATTTACGGATTTTTGGGAATTTGATAAGCTCATTGCAAAGTACACACCAGTCCTTTTCTTTTCGAGCACTTTATTAGACAATTAGGGCTACCAACTGCTGCATGGTTTTTTGGTTAATTTTTCTGTTTTCTTTGTTCATTTATGTGTGCAAACATAAAGCCAAGCTCGTTATGGAAATTGTGAATTTTAAACACGCCTGGAATATGTGGCACGTGGAAATGACCAGCTAACAACGTGCCTTAATGGTCTGTGAAGTGAGTACCTCGTGAATATGCGTACGATTGTGTCTGACTGATCGCGTGCCATTCATCCATGCTTCTGGTCTTTTAGCCTTTATGCACTTTTATGCCCACTGCTATTTGGTTGCTTGTGTTGAAGTCCATTGTTTATTCGACTACCTGTACCACTGGCGTTCAATTTGGTGCTCCTCTTGCTCTTGATTGCATGGGCTGGCCTTTCTGTCTAAATGCGGAGATTTAGCTCTTTAATACGATCTATGTTCTCATTTCCACCTCCTGTGACAAATTCATAAGGTGTGAATTAAAAACACATGCTTTGAGTGAGAGAATGTCTTACGTCTTCACAGCAGGGGACCTGGGAATGACATCTGTGTGTGGCATCCGCCCCGTTCCCGTATTCCACTGCCATACTATTAACAACAGACGTGACACCGCCGTAAATCACCTCAAAAAGTTGCATTTTTTGGAATCCTCCTTACTGCACCCACTTATCGATGTCAGCAATGACACCACATTGAAGTCTCTTCCACACGAGACTGTGCTCACTCCTCTCCTTCTCGTCGTCACTCCGTTCCAATGGTTGGCTCTGCACGCAGTTTATGGTCAGCAGAAGTCAGCCTCTCTGATTCCGGTCTGCATCGCGAACGAAGCCGCTGGGAGGGTGGGGAACATGCCCGCAATCGCATGGAAGGGAATGACTGACGCAGTTGCCTCGTGGGGGTACCTACTGGCGGCACCGGATACCATGCGATGGCTGATGCGAGGAGTATCGAGAAGAGCAGGAGAATGTTGTTGCTGCCTTGTTTATTTCACAACCCACATGAGTGGGGGTGACTGGCGTTTCATCCTGGCCTGCGTCCCTAGCCATAGCCCACGTCTTCTTTTTCTCTCTGAATGCGCGTATTCTGTCCTACGTAGTACCTTTCTTCACCCAATGAGAAATCATGGTACGTTACAGTACGTCGTCAATAATTACTATTTTGAAAAAAATGCAGAATTTGCAGCTCCCGAGTCATAAACCATTTACTTTGCATTGTGCACTTGAAAGAAAAAGTTGCTCAGATCAATTGAGTGACGGGGTAAAAGGTTTTCGTAACCACGTCATCTTCCTCTTTCTTCACTAGCCTTGAATGATGCGCTCAAATCTCTGGCAACACCTTCCCAAGCCTCAGGACTGCTATAAAGTCCGCACGGGTGTGCTGTTTTTGTTTTTTTTCTTTTTCATCTCTTTAAAATGTTCGTTTGCAAGTGTTTTTTTAAACACAATGCAAGTTCTGTACTTTTTTTTCAGGTTGTCTTTCATACATTTTTACGTAATCCACATTAGGTAGTTTCACTCTCCCACATTTTCTTCATGCCGTTTGAGCCAAGTCTGATCTTCATGCGATGGAATTCTTGGTCTCAAAATAACTAGAAATTTGATTTTATTCACAAATCGGTAGTCGCTTTTACACCTCTTTGTATTCCACTCACAGAAGGCAGGCGAAGCTGATTACTCCGGCCTTGACTTGAAAGCAAACCTCTCTTTCTTCTTTGCCTGGGGAGGAAGTCGAGTCACCTCTTGCCAGACGCCATCTGTCCCATCATTTCTTTTTATTTGCCACAAATATTAACGCTTGGCATTCCT